CGCGNGCGCGCGCGCGCGCGCGCGCGCGCGCGTCGTGCGTGNGNGCGNGNGNGNGNGGNGGNGGGGGGGGGGGGAGGTGGGCTACATCGAAAAGCCGACGGTCCGATCAAGCTCGGAGAGGGCCCCGGGCCAGGCCGAGCCACCGGCACAGCCGATGAAGCGTGGGAGGTTGCTGGCTGGCTTGCTTGGGCGCGGGAGCGATATTATCGCACGCGTCGCCAAATAGGCTCCGGGGCGTAGGCTGCCCTCGGCAGTGGGGCGTGCCAAGCCTTCCTTCCTCTCTCGAGACGATCACATCCGCCGTTGATGTGACCGACGCTGGCTGTGATGGCGAGGCCTGGCGTGGCCTGGCCTCGATGCTTCTCGCGGCTCCTTTCCGCTTTGGCTGGCTTCCGTCGTCGGGGGACGTCGAGGCAGACGACCTGTGCCAAGGTAGGCTCGGGCTGCTCCGGGCCTCAGCGGAGGCCCGACCGCTCCTTGCCCGTGACAATGTGGCCCGTGAGTCACGCATTTCCTTCCGCACCAGGCGGAGTCCACCCTACCTGTCGCTCTGGCTCTGGTTCAGCGGAGCGTCCCGACACCATCACGCTCCCGTCCCTCCGCCTTCGCTACCGAGCGGCCGGTTGCTCTCGCTTGGTCACCATCACGTTCACGTCTTTCCGTCCGAAGCTCACCACTACGACCTGTACCCGAGCCCGTCTCGCCACGCCGAAGCATGAAGAGCGCGGACTTCTCACACCGGATGGAAGCCTCCGCCCTGGAGAGGCGATGGCGAAATCTTGCCCGCGCTACGGAGGTGCTAGGCTGTGCTCTCGGACACTGCGATCCCACAGAGGACAGGCTCAGAAGCCAGGCAAGCGAGGCAGGAGAGAGCTCATCGACCAGAACAGACCGCCTCGACTAGGCGAGAGGAAGACCGCGCGCGATTCTGCGATGTCTCGAAGCTTGGCCGCAACGTTTGCTGCTGCGGCTTCTCACGCCAAGCCTACCAACGCCCGGCCTCCTTCCGGCGATGGCATATCGCACCAGTCTTCGGCGCAATCACTCGTCTCTCGGCTGGCTCGCACGAGCTCGATGGGATTCCGTCGTCGGCGCCGACTCACGGCCAACCGAGCTGAGTCCCACGCCCAACTCTTGGCGACGCCGAGCTTGTCTGAGCACCGCCACGGCCATCGTTCGCACCCTCGAATCGTCGCAGAGCTTCGTGGTCAGCTGGCCGCCGCGACCTGAAGGGTACTCGCTCACCCAGCAGCAGCGCAGCGAGCGGCTTCGAGCACGTTCGAGGGGCCGAACCCTGGATCCCCAGAGGGCCAGGACCGAGGAGGGCCGTCGTCACTCCAGCGCCAGCAACGACGGCGCCAGAGCGCTCGAGTCCAGCGGGCCCAGCAGCGACGGCGACTCAGCGCAGTCAGCGGAGAGGCTGACCTCGCTGGGACGCAGAGACAGCGTCCAGCGGCCCTCGCGCTCCTCTGGCGAGGGCGATTCCCCTCGCCGAAAGGGATATAAGCAGGGCCTCGAGGGTCGGAACTCCATCCCCTCCTCCTCATCCCAATCCACTCTCACAGTCCACACCACATCTCTACACTCGCACAAAGACACACACACACACACACACACACACACACATCTCTCTCTTCTTACGCACCGAGCCTCACAGCTACATCTCCTCGCATTCTCTCCAGAGCTCCGCCTCTGCCGTCTACCACCGCCGACTCATCCTCTTCCACCTCTACCGAGCTACCCTCCTCCCACTCCTCTTGCTCTCTCCACGATGAAGGTCGCCACTCTCGTCCCCTTTGTCCTGCTGGCCATCGGCCACGGCGTCGCCGCCGCCCCAACCTTTGACGCCTCGAGCAACGACCTCGTCTCGCGCTCCGAGGAGCGCTCCACGGCCGCCGCCTGGCTCAAGCGCGCCTACGGCTCCTACGATGACAAGGACAGCTACGACAAGTACGGCGCCTACGACAGCTACGACAAGGAGTACGACGACGCGGACAAGTACGAGAAGGACAAGAAGTACGCCGAGGACAAGGACTACAACGCCTACAAGAAGTACGACGACGAGAAGAAGAAGGAGGCGGCCAAGAAGGAGAGGGAGGCCTACGACGCCAAGAAGGCCAAGGAGTACAAGGACACCAAGAAGAAGGACGACTACAAGGCCGACGAGAAGAAGTACGCCGACTACAAGGAGAACGAGGACCACAAGAGCGACGTCTACAAGAAGTCGGACAGCTGGCACAAGGACAAGGCGTACAAGAAGAACGACTACAAGGACTCCTACAAGAAGTCGGACTACGACAGCGCCGAGAAGAAGGAGAAGGAGGCCAAGGACTACGACAAGGCCAAGTACGACGCCTACAAGGACTACGACAAGCACGACCTCGACGCCGCCAAGTACGCCAAGGAGAAGAAGTACGACGACGAGAAGGACAAGAAGGCGAGCTACGACAAGAAGAAGGACTACGCCGCCAAGAAGTACTACGCCGACAAGAAGGACGACGAGGACAAGAAGGACTACGGCTACGGCAAGGACAAGAACGACTACAACTACGGCTACGGCGGTGACGACGACTACGAGAAGAAGGACTACGGCTACGGCGACAAGAAGGACGACGAGTACAAGAAGAAGAAGGACTACGACGACGACTACGAGAAGAAGGAGTACGGCAAGCGCGCCTACGACAAGGACGCCAAGAAGAAGGACGACGACGACAAGGAGAAGCACGAGTACAAGAAGTACGGCTACAAGAAGGAGGACTGCGAGGAGAAGAAGGACTACGGCAAGGCCAAGAAGGACCACGGCTACGGCGACGATGACAAGGAGAAGAAGGAGTACGGCTACGGCGACGAGGACAAGGACTACGGCTACGGCGACGACGACAAGGAGTACGGCTACGGCGATGACGACAAGGAGTACGGCTACGGCGACGACGACAAGGACTACGGCTACGACGAGGACAAGAACGACTACGGCTACGGCGACTACAGCTACTGAGCGCCCGGTCCCCGTCCTCTCGGCCTCGGCCTTGGCCCCGCCTGACCCCCTCTGGCGCTGCCGCCCCCAAAAGTCACTCCCGCCCCTCTTCGTCCTCGCCCTCCTGCTCCCGCATACATCGCCTCTGACTGTACATGCCTCGTCCCCCGAAATCTGACTGCGCTTCTTGATCCACACTTGTCTCTCGACTGTGTCGCCGCGGCGCGACTTGAGCGAAAGGGCCTTGTCCGCTCCTTCATACCAGGTGAGTGGAGCTTAGGAGCGCTTACTCTTTCTCTTCGCTCTGAGCCCTTTCCACTCTCTCGACGACGGCTCCTCTCCCAGCACTTTGACGGCTTCTCTTCCAGCAGCCTCTCTAGCCTACAGCGAGCGAGCAACGCTTTCCAACCCTCGCCTTCCGGCTCTTCATCTGGCGCCGCCTCCGACCTTCCGACAATCGTCAAGTCTCTATCAAGCCAGGTGCTTGGTGAAGAAATCGATGTACTCGGGCATCGCCTTTTCAAAAGCCTCGCCGACGTAGATGTCAAAGTGGCCCATGCCTTCAAAGACGCGGACGACACCTCTCGGCGCCTCCTTTGCGTAGGCGATGCTGGTGTCTGCGGGCGCCACCGAGTCGCCGGCGCAGATGGCGAAGAAGATCGGGGCCTGCACCTTCTTTGCGTCGCGTCCAGGCGCCAAGAGGGGCAGCTTGAGCAAAAGGCGCGCGGCAATCTCATTGCTGAACGCGATGTCGCGGGGGACGAGGCTGAGGTAGCCCTGCCAGACGTCCGGCTTGGTCATCAGAGCGACTGGGGCGACCGCCAAGCGTGCAGCCCTCTATCAGCGTGAGTGAACGTCCATGGCCAGCGAGCTGCGGGGTGGGTGGCGCGAGCGACTCGACATTGACTCACCATCATCCGGCTTTCCGGCCAGGGCGATGGGCACGATCGAATCGCCCCAAGAAAAGACGAGGTCTCTGATGGCAGCCACGGTGCCCCAGAGGAGGGTGCGGAAGCTGACGGTCTGGGACGAGGCCCATCCGCTGGTAAAGGGGCACTGGGATACGACGGCCTTTACACGCCTCGGCTCACGGGCTGCGACGGTGATGACGTGCCCACCGGCGAAGCTGGTGCCAAAGATGGCGATGCGCTCGCGATCGACCGACTCGAGCGTCTCTGCAAAGTCGAGGGCGGCCGACCAGTCCTCGAGCTGCCTGGGCACGTCGACGAGCTGCCTCGGCCTGCCTGTCGACGCGCCGAGGTGGCGGTAGTCGAAGACGAGCGCGTTGAACCCGGCCTGCTGGAAGCGGTGCGCGAAGCGATTAAGACCCATCTCCTTGATGGCGCCGATGCCGTGCGCCAGGACGATGACGGGGCGGCGGCCGCCCGGAGCGGACGGGTAGAGCCAGCCGGCGCAGATGTCGTCGCCGGACGCGAAGCGGATATCTTGGCGGTCGGCCATATCGTATTGCCAAGGGGATACAGAGGCGAGGGCCCGGCTAGGCGGTGGGAGACAAGCGGGGAGGGGGTGGAGGATATGCAGCGGGCCGTCTTACCACCATCCGGGGGAGGACAGGCGGGCGGGTGATGGTGTTGGAGACCGATGAGACAACCCGCTGGCGGCACGATGGGCCCAGGGGGGACTGCGGGACGGCGGGGCTCCCGAGGCGTCGTGCCGAGGCTGGGGGTGGAGGTGGGGCACGGGCCACGCGGTGAGCTTGGGCCGAGCCAGGCTCGCCGCTATCGAGCTGCCGCTCGTCTTCTCTGCCATGGCCATGAGCAAATCGATGTCATTCCAACCAATCGGCGGGGGTACCATAAAAGAGCGGGAGCGGGACCGGTGCAAGGAAACGGACAGCCTGGCCTTCGGATTAAAGCCAGAAGGGTGGAGAGAGACAGAGGGAGGGGGGGGTTCCAGGTAGAAAAGAGCGAGAATCTGGCGCGCAGACGGGTGTGGCGGAAGAGGTTTTGGAGGTTGGAGGTTGCGGCGAAGGGCGGCGACGTCGGGACCATGGCAGGCGCTGATGTGGGAGCCGCTCGGTAGACGCCACCGTTGTCGTCGAAAGGCTCATCGAGCGTGGGACGGCGGCCGAAACGCCTCCCCCACCCGGCCATGTCACGGCGCGCGACATCAATCCCAGTCGGGATTGGGTCGAGGAGCGAGGTTGATGCTCACGCCTCGTGCCGCAGTCGGGCTCGACGGATGGATCGGTAGAGGGACCGAGGGACGCTGCACGACGTTGACCTCACACACGACCGTGGCGCCGATGTCTTCGTACTGTCGAGTGACGGTCTCGGTGACGAGGATGCCGCCGCCCGGCGTTGTCAGCCCGTGTCCGACGGCCCGTTTGTCGTCGGCCGATCCGGCGTCCTCGGCATCGCGACGGCTGACTGTGTAGACCTGCTCCTCGGCAGTCGCATGCCCGAGATCGCCATCGCTGCCCTTCTTGCCGAGCGCCTGACCGCAGGCTCCGCCCTCGTGAGACGCTTCGAAGACGGTCTCGACCGCAGAGCCTCCAAAAGATTCAGCGCCGCCTGCTGCGACCAGCGTGCTGGCGGCTCCCGCAGACATGACTTGCAGCGAGACGCGCGGACCCGCGACCGCCTTTGAACCTTCCGGTTTGGCCGAGAGGCCAGACCTGCGCCCGACCGCCGACTTGGCCCACGTCAGCTTGGTGCCGCTCCGCGCGGCTGCGTCGTCGCATGTGCTGGGATCGGCGGCCATGGAACGCCTGATCACGGGCCGAACCCTCTCCTGCGAGGCGGCGACGATATTGTTGACGACGGGCTCGTAGGTCCGTCCGAAGATCATGAGAAACACCCATGCGCCGCAGATGACACATACGTAGGCCACCCACGATGCGCTCAACGTGAGAACTCGGCCGCCTTCGTTGGCTTCCCAGCTCCTGCACGGGAAAGAAGACGACAGAAGGGGAGGGAGACGACCAGGAGAGCGAACGACGTTCAGCGGCCAGCCCTCAGAGCGCTTCGGAACGACTCGAGATCGAGGATAGCCGAAGAGGATGCCGGATCGACTCACGGATACCATTGGACGGCCACGTACACGCCGAGGACCGAGTAAAGGAAGGCGGCGACCGAGATGCCGACGAGCTGGACCATGAGGTCAGAGAGGCACCGCTCGAGGTAGTAGCGCTGCGCACGGCGGCCGTTTCTGGCCGTCACCTTGGGAGGACGGTGGAAGGTGCTGGGCTTGACGGCGGGGAAAAAGCTCGCCACCGGCGCGTCCTGCTGCTCGAGTTGGGCGGCAGAGAAGAACATCGACTCGGCCTGCTCTTCGTCACCGCCCGAATCGTCGTCGCCCCCAGACACAGACTCTGCATCGTCACCGAATCGGCGCTGCCATTGCCGGTGGACGGCAAGCAGGAGCCTCGCGATCGGCGCGTCCCCGTGTTTCTGAAGCCCGTGCCGCAGTTTTCCGCCAGGGACCGCTGCGCCCTTGCCGGCTCCCAGTTGGGCCGAGGCCTTACGCCGTTGGACTGCGAAGGACTCGCTGAAACTCTGATTGGCCTTGAACGAGCGCATCGTCTTCATCTGGCTCCGAATGGTCAGGGCCAGCCGACCCGCGCAGATGAGAACGCCAGCGAAGAGAGCAAAACCCGTCGCGGCCCAGATGGCGTAGGCGATGCACAGATGCGAGGCCGAGCTGAGCGTTCCATTCCAAATTGTCTGAGCCTCGAGCAGCATTTCCCGGTTGAGCGCAGTTTCGGCGGCCCACCTGCGGTTCCAGGCATCCTTTTGGTCGAGAGCGGTCTGCCAGCGCCGCTCGGCGCGATGGACGGGCGCAACAAGAGCCGCCGCGGGCACCAGAGGTATGACGAAGAAGATCACGTTGACGACCCTTGGCGTGATTCCGAGCCTCAGGGCGAGCGACGGCGGGCGACCAGGGTCCCGCGAGATGCTCTTGAGCGAATCGGGGCGGGCTAGGGCGACGCCGAGGACATAGAGGTAGGCTCCCAGGCAGAGGGGGATCCAGGGCATCGACATCCACAGGCTAAAGTGGTCGGAGCGCAGTCCCATGGTGCTCCAGGCCTGAGCGTACCAGACGAAACCCACCATGGTGCCAAAATAAAACATGAGGACCCAGGTGAGATTGGCGACGGCGTTGGGGACGATCAGGGTGCCGTTGGAGCGCTGCTGGACGCGAAAGAGCCAGAGCGACCGCTGGTGGAAGCGGCGGACGAGGATCATGACCGACATGAGCACCAGCAAGGTGGCGACTCCCGACAGGACCTTGAGCTGGGTGCAGGCGCTGTGACCAATGTCAGGCTGGAGCAGCCGATGGATGAAGCGTGAAAGTTGATCGACTGGCGTGACGACCGTCGTGGCCGTCGTGGTGGTAGCGGCGGCGGCGGCGGCGTCAAAGTCCGGAAACCATGCCCGCTGCCAGATGTGGGGTCTGCCGAAGGCCCAGACACTCCTGGCGGGCGGATCCGGGAGGTTGAAGCGTTGGTGCAGTTCACGATAGGCCATGACGCGAGCGAGCCTTGGCCGGTCGAGGGCGTTGGAGTGTTTGGAGAGAGGCCCTTGCGGTGGGAAACCTGTGGCGCCGACCAAACAGCGGATGGTGCGGGCGAGGAGCAGACGCGGATGGCGATGGCGTGTCGAGGCGGAGGGATTCGCGGTAGGGGAACGCTTCAGGGGCAGACCGAGAAGAGCGCTCTTATAACGGCTGCGTCTCGCCGTGGCGCTCGCCCTTGCCAGGTCTGGCGGCCGCCGCAGCACAGGTCAGATTCAGATGGGCCTGACCGGGCCGGCAAGGTACCGCACGGGGCGGCGACGAGTCAAAGCAGCGGGTCGTTATGCGCTGTCGTCCGGCCCAGCGCTTGGCTCTAGAACTAGGGGATTTCATGGCTGCACCCGGGCCACGGCTGGGAAGCAAACCCGCGACAGGGAGACCAGAGAGGACGAGCGACGGGATGACCTTGATGGCGGAGGCCTGGTAGCGCGAGTTTAGCCGTGGCGAGTGCGGGTACGCCGGGAGTCGCAGGGAAGCATCGAAGCGAGCTGTCTCTCCAAGATCCCGACTAGCCGCTGTAGGGTTGGTTGCGGTGACTTAGTCGCTGATCGACGCAAAACGCTAGTCCTTGGGCCCGCGAGAGCCTCGGGCTAGCCGCGTACGCTGCAGAGCCCTTGGCCGGGACGAGTGTGTTCGAGCTCGATGGGATTGAGCCAGGGCCCCCGTATCTGCGGGACTTTGTCCTCGCCAACTGGAGGTCCGTCGACGTGGGCTCGAGCGCGAGACCCTCTTGGCGCGGTCCGACAAAGGCAGCCGGTCAGGCCACGGCGAACTGCGATTATAGCCGCGCAGCTCACGCCGCTGGCGAGGCCGACGAGGAGCTTTGGCCGTCCGCAGCGCGTCAAGGCGCCAGAGGGAGAATGAGGTCGCCGGCAATGGCTCTCAGCCTGGCCGGCGGCTACCGGGCGAGGCCATGGCTCAATGGGGCAGCCGACCGAACGGGGCGGCGTATCGACTGGCCATCCAGTTGGTCCGCAGCAAAGGGCTTTGCCGCCTATCAGCTGAAATCGGACCAAGTGCGCGGTTGTGACGATGGTTGAGGGTATCTGTGGCTCTCCTGGCCTGGGACCCGGCTGACTGGCGACCACGCCATCGTGCCACCTGGGTTGACCGACCCGCTCGCATACCGGCGAAGGCGGGGACGTCGTCAAAGGCGGTGTCGTCGATCCTTCGGTGAGGAGCCTGCTGAGTCGGCTGTTGGGAGGTCTTTCGAGGCGTCGCGGACGATGAGACGGACCGGACGGACGCTCGAGCAGTGCGTCGTGTGCCCCATCGGCAGCGATGTGGCGAGAGATGTAGTCGATTGGCCGTCAATGGACGAGCTCCGGATGGCCCTCCGAGCCTACAGTCAGTATGGCGTCAATTGGGATGCTTTGCGCTGGGCTTCTGACGGCGCAAAGGCGTCGCTCATTGTAGACGAAGGTGATGGCGGCGTTGGCAGCAGGGTCCGGGATGGTGGTCTGCCGGCCCGACGCCGAGCTTCCTCGGTGAAAGTCATCGTGGGCCCAGAAATGTTTGTTCGCCAGGCAAAGACAAACAAGAGGGGCAGAGAGCAATCAGATCTGCAGCAGTCACGGGTAGCTGGTCAATCCGAGTTACGCCCTGCCTAGGTGCGGGCGAGGGGGCGGAAGGAGATGGGTGGCTTCCGCAGCGGTCCAGCGGCTATGGCACTAGGCGAGGGCGTCGGCGTCGTCGTCACCTTTGATACCTACGCCACTGCACTGCACCGATAGTGGGCTCGCTCGAGTGTCGCCTCAATGGTGCTGGCGATGCTAGATGGCGGTGGCGTTGGTGGTGGTTGGCGGTGACGAGGCGAGGGCGGCAGGCAGCGGCGACGAGTGCCGTCTGCCGGTATCCGACATTCCAGGGTCCAAGCAGATCCTCCCGCACGACAGAGGAGAGCGTGAGGCCACAGGAGGGTCGGTGATCGGGTGCTTGGCGGGCGGGCGGGCAATCGAGTTGGCTCCTGCGCACAGGCAGCCAGGTAACTTGGCCGAAAGGGGCCTCGCACCTGCAGCCAGAGAGGGCCAAGGCCAGGGGAGGCGAGCATCGGTCAGGCTGGCGCGCAGACCAACGGCAGGCAGGCAGGCGGGCAGCCAGCCACATCCCCTCTCTTCTGGCAGCCCAGCCAGCCAGCCAGCCACTGGGGGGCCCTGAAGCTGCCTGGGCGTGCCGCTCTCCACCCCATCACCACCACCACCGCCGCCGCCACCACCACCTGTCGCCGCACCCATCTCCCGATCGACCTTACCAGCACATCCCTCCCCCTCACTCCTAACCTCCAGCCCCACCCGCAACACTTTAGCCCGCCATGGATCCCTCCAACATCAACACGGAGCTCTGCCCCGTCTACGCCCCCTTCTTTGGCGCCATGGTGAGTAGTGCCGTGCCACTTGCCGCCGGTTTCGTCGGCCCGCCACTCGCTGCTCGCTCTGCAGCATCAGCCCGCACCCATCGTTCGACCCTCTCGCTCTCGAAGGCATCGCAAGAAGGCTCCAAGCATGTCTGCCTCCCAGCCGGCCCGACAGCCACAGTCCCCTGGACTGGATCGACTGGCTGGTCGGATGGCCTGCTAGCATGGCTGCCCGGGAGTTCGGGCCCACCTAGCTCGTAGCAGCCGCACCGATCGCTCTCACCTCCACTACCGAACTGCCTTTCCGTCAAGGCTAGGTCGCGGCGCCCGATTGTGACGACGACGCCGCACCTCGAGCATGGCCACGCCTCGCACCCTTGACCCGTCCGGGCCCGTGCACGAAACTGACACACCGGCTCTGTTCCATGCACATCATGATCCCACTTCCGACCAACAGGGCTGCACCGCCGCCATTGTCTTCACCTGTGAGTATGTCGAACGCTGCCGCCGCCGCCGATGCCCGGTCCTCGAGGCCCTGAAGCACGCTCGGAATGCCTGGCTGACCGTAAGCGGCTTTCCACCCCTGGCTCTCGCCTTTTGCAGGTCTCGGTGCCTCGTACGGCACTTCCAAGTCCGGTGTCGGTATCTCGGCCATGGGTGTTCTCCGTCCCGACCTCCTCATCAAGTGTGTCGTCCCCGTCATCATGGCCGGTATCATTGCTGTGAGTTGGTGCCCAGATTCTTGCCCGTCGGGGAAACGCGGCAGCCAGTCGCTGACCGATGTTCGCACGACGACCCGTCTACCGTCTCCGGCAGATTTACGGTCTCGTCGTCAGCGTCCTGATCTCGGGTGACAGTGAGTTGCGAGCCAGCGAAGCGGTGGGATGCCTCTGCAGCGTGGCCGACGCCGACGTAACCGATTGACCAACCGCCACCTGCCACCCGCCTCGCCTGCCTTTGCCATCTGCTTCCGCCTCGCTCTTGCAACGCAACCAGTCAAGACCCCGATGTCCCTCTACGCCGGCTTCATCCAGCTGGGCGCCGGCCTTTCCGTCGGTCTGGCCGGTCTCGCCGCTGGTTTTGCCATCGGCATTGTCGGTGACGCTGGTGTCCGCGGCACCGCCCAGCAGCCTCGTCTCTTCATCGGAATGGTGCGTGGCAGTGTCGTGGCCCGCTTTGCTTTGATGCAGTGCAGGATCCGTTGCGCTGACGTTGGCGCTCTCTCTTGCCGCGAATCGTCTCTCTCCCCGCTTCTTGCAGATTCTCATTCTCATTTTCGCCGAGGTCCTGGGTCTGTACGGCCTCATTGTCGCCCTGATCCTCAACACCCGGTCCCAGGACGACCCCCTTGGAGTGAGTGGCGCCGCCGCCCGTAGCCCGACGTCGCGCCACGGTCGTGCACCCGATTGCACTCGGGCCGTTGCTGACCGCCGCCGTGCCCTCGCTCCTCTTTCGACGTGCAGTGCCTCCTCAAGTAAATGGACCCTCGACGTCCGCCCTCGTCCCGCTCCGGCTGACCCGATCCGCTTCGCGTGTCCTCGATCTTCGACGGGGGCCGAGCGAAGCCATGGCTGGTGCTGGAAAGGGCGTCGGCATCGCGCTGCTTGCTCGTCGTCATCCGTCTGGCTGCCGGCGCCGCGTCCCAGATCCGCATCGCAAGGCGACGAGTGGACGTAGCAGAGGCTCCCCTTTTTCCCTTCTCCTCAACAAGCCGGTTATTAGAAGTCACGATGTCGGCCGGCGCCCTGCGCTGGCAGGCCGTGAGGTTCTCGCTGTCGGACACGACGACGAATAGCCGCCCCAGCAGCGCCCTGAGCTGCGCTTGACCCTTCGCGCCCGCGGCGAGGGCCATTGCGCGCATCAGAGGTTGCTGGGATCCTGCAGCTGCGTGAATATACATATGAACTGGAGAGCCCTCGAGCGTGGTGATGACGGACGTGGCGGCCGCGGCCGAGGGATGGGTATAGATGGAAGCACACGGTTGCCTGGCTGGTGAGGAGAGCAGGCGGGCGCTGCTGGATCGAAATGGGGCAAGCTGGCGGCGGATGTCAGGTCGCTCTGAGTCGCTTTTGCGGCTGCCCATCGATGCCGATGGACGGTGATGCCTTGCCCTGGACATCGTCGTCGTCGCCGTTATCGTTGTCGTCGTTGTCGTCGTGCTGGCCATCGACTGGCTTATCAGCGTCGTGCTCGCGCTCGTCGTCGTCCTCCGCCTCGTCTTCATCTTCCTGCTGAGGCTGCTGGATGAAGCGACCGTGGTGGCCGCGCCTCGGGTTGAATGTGGCCCTGCTGTGGCGCTGCTTTGTCAGGCTGGCGCGCAGATCGTAGACGGAGCATTGCTGTGCAGGCGTGGGATGACAGTTTGGTTGAGCGCAAGTGTGCGAGGCGAGGCGAGCGGACGAGGGCGAGAGCAGGGGCGGACGTAGGTCAGAAAGGACCGAAACGTGCGACACGGCGAGGGGGCGGAGAGGGCCGAGCTCACCAGCCGTGATGCGAGGATGCCATAGAGATCGGGCGCCTGGTAGATGCTCTCGTTGATGACATAGTAGGCCGCCAGCGGTGTGACTGCAAAATGGAGGCGGAGAGCGGCGAGGGAAGGGGTCAGAATGGGCCGACAAGGGGACCTGTCGACGACGAGGCGATGTCGCCCGGGCGCCCGAGGACTGCAAGGCCCTGCGACGGTGGTCGTCGATAACCCACCCTGATCCGGCCCGCTCCTCCAGCGTCTCTGTATGACAAACACGCCGCCTGCGCCTGCACCCGGCTTGGCGTGTACGAGGACAAACTCGAGACCCGTGAAGCGGCGCAGCTCTTCGTGGAGCTGGTGCGCCGACATGGCCGAGTTGGGGTTGAGGCCGTTTGCGATGTTCTGCATGCGGATCTGCTCGTTGTTGGAGCGGCGGTCGAAGAAGGGCGATGTGGCAAAGTAGTCGAGCACGTTGTACTCGGTGAGCGGGTGCTGCGGATCGAAGGCGACCGTGCCGCCCGCGGCCGACGATGCCGTGGTGGTGCGGAGGGCCTGGAGGTGGAGAGAGGAGAGGTAGGAGAGGTATTCGGGGTTCTTGAATTGGACGTGCAGGAGGTTCGCGGGTGGCGATGCGCCCTGCTCGGCGCCGGTGGCGGTGGGTGGCTCCATGTTGGCGACGAGTATGTTCAGGGGCGAAGGAGAGGGCGACGAGCAGGGGAGGTGAAGCAGGGGGGAAGATGGGCGTCGGCCCTGGAAACGAGAGAAGGGTCGACCAGGTCGACGGCTCCTCCACCCGCCGCCGGCCCTCGGAAGTCGGAAGGAAGCCGATGGGGCGGGCGGGCCGACCGAGACTGCCGCTGCCCTGTCGGTCCAATGCCCGGCGGGTGACCCGACGTTGGGTGTTGGTTGTTGGTTGTTGGTTGTTGCTTGTTGCTTCACCCGCCGTGCCCTTCCCTTCTCTTCCCTTCTCTGCCCTGCTTTGCCCACCCATCCTCCTTGCTGGCCTGCCCTCGGTCGCCTCGCTCGCCTCGCTCGCCCATCACCCTCAAGCCACCTTTATCCATGTCGTCGCAACCGCACCGGCGCCCACAGGGCCAGCACGACGACCTCCTCTCGCAGTACGACGACCTCGACACCCCGCTCGATACCCAGGACCAGGAGAGGCTCATTGCCCAGCTCAAGCAGCAGAACGACGGCTCAAACTACGGCCTCCGCGCCCTCCTCGCCGTTCTCATCGCCCTCCTCGAGTTCCTGTGAGTCGCGAGTGGCCCACCGCTGACCCCGCTCGCTCCACGCTAACATCGTCGTCGTCGTCGTCTCCCTCGCCCCTCTGCCTCTGCCTCTGCCTCTGCCTCTGCCTCTGCCACCTCGCCTCTCCCTTCACGACGCAGCTACCTCACTCCGCTGCCGTCCTACATCCGCGGCGACCACCCGGAAAACCACCTGACCCTCTACCACCACCCCGTCCACGTCGAGGGCACCATCGACCATCTCACCTACCTCCCCGCGTTGCCCATCTACCTCTTCTTTTTCCTCGTCCACGGCTCCCTCCTCTACATGGCCGCCATCGAGCTCCTCTCGACCATGGGCCACGCAAACCTCCTCGCCCGCTACCGCCTTCCCCTCGCACGCTCGACGGCCAACGCCGTCCCCTTTCCCTACCAGCCCCACCCCTTCGGCACCGCACCGGCCTGGCTCGTCCCCACCCTGCGCGACATCAAGTGGTCCACCTCGCCCCAGACCAAGCTCAACCAGCGCGCAGACGACCAGCCCGCCGCCACCGCCGTCGCAAAGAGCGTCGCAAGCTCCCTCTCGGACCCCAAACTCCTCTACCTCTGGTTCCTCTTCATCGCCAGCTGGCCCATGCCCATGCTCATCTTTGGCGCCGGCAACTTTGCCAACGCCGCCTGGTGGTCCCTCAGCTCCGCCGTCCTCGGCATCTACCTCGCCGCAGAGACCTGGATCGCAAAGACCAACCGCGACATCCTCGGCCTCGACGCGCTCAAGTACAACCACAAGTCGGCCTAGCCCGCGTCGGGGCCAGGGCCAGGGCGCAGAGCACGCCTGGAGCATCGATATTGCCGACGCACGCGTGTACAGGTCCGACGGGTCGATATCGTCGGCCTCGGGCGGGTCGGTTGCATGAGCGCATCCGCAGCCGCCGTCGATCACTGCTCGTACGGCGCCGCATCCAGATCCGCTGTTCCGTCATCCATCTCGGCCAGCCGCAGCGCCATGTCGTCAGAGATCTGCATCGCGGCGGCGTGGGCAGGGAGGAGGGAGTCAGATTGGGTCGTCTCGCCCTTCACGCAGTGATAGAGCACCAACTCGCCGGCGCCGCCGTGACGCACCTCGTACCACCAGTTCAGGCACAGGCACAGATCCGGGCCCGCCTCGCCTCCCGGTGTACCTTGATCCTCCTGCTGCGCGACGTGGTGATACCACCTTGATGGCCAAAGGGGAAACCCCGTAGAGTACGAATGGAATCAGCAGACTGCTATGCGTGCCCGTCCGCCACCTTGGCCAGCGCGTGGCTGACGAGACGAGACGAGACGAGACGAGACGAGACTCACCCGCTGGGGAGGTAGAGCGTGTCACCCGCCTCGACTCGGATCGTGAGGGGCGGCAGAGCGTAGCCATAACGCTGCAGCGCCGGATCCGGTGCCGGCGACTTGTCGTTGCTCGCCGCCGTGTCATCCTGGCAGTGGGATGGCGCATCCAGGTGGCGGTGGACGTATCTTCGATTGCGCAGCGACGTCTTTGGCTGCGTCGGGTCGATGGGGATCCAGCGCGTCCGTGGCGTCTCTCTGTCCCTGTGTAGTTCCAGCTCGGTCGGCAGACCGTTTGAGGTCTGGGAAGAAGTGGTGGGACGGTAGCGGTAGACGTCGAACTCTTCGTCTGCCGTTGACGGGGAGCCGCGCGAGGAGCGGAGAGGGAGTGGCGGGCTGCACGGTCAGCATCGAGCGAGGGAAGATCACCGACCTCCTTGAACGAGGGACGAGGATTCGCGTCGAGGGGCGCAGGTACGTACCGTCGCAGAGGAACCTGCCTTCATTGGGTGGAAAGACGGTGAACGTCTTTGTGCCGCGCACGACGGTGAAGAGGTTCTCGTAATGGTCCCTTGTCGATCGATGTCGCAGTTGGGGCCGGATCGAAGAGGGCAGGCGTAAGGGCGAGGTCAGTCGTCGTCGTCGTCGTCGTGCAGTCCTCACAAAGCAGCCCGATAGGTAGACGGACGGCAACCGACTGCGACCGGCGCTCGGTGCCGCGGGACACGCACACTCACCTGTGCATGCTCGTGGTGCTGCGACCCGTTCCGATCCAGATGTTGGTAGCCTCGGGGTGCTGTCCCATGGCCTCGGTGGCCCAGTCGATATCGGCGCGGATCGATCCGTCGTCGTGCGCGCACAGGTCCTCGAAGAGCGGTGCCAGGTCGCCACTCAACGGTCCGGCGGTATCGAGGTTCGAGTTCTGGGATTGCAGGTACGCCACGCACCCCGCTCCCGCTTCCGCATCTTCGCATCGCTGCTGCTGTTGTTGTTGTTGGCGTGCCAGTTGGTCGATGAGTCGGTCAAAGGGTACCGTGACGTCGTAGGGGAGCGCAAACACCCTCGCCGCGCCGCCGGGACGCTCTCCAGGCTGTCCTTCCTTCCCCACCGACGACGACGACGACGATGAAGGAGGTGAGTCTTGGGCAGCAGAGGGGAGGGGTACGAGATCGTCGGCCCGACCGTCTGGCGTGAGGGCAACGACGACGTCGCGCCCGCCCATCCGGTCGACGAGGTACGACGTGCGTTGCCACTCTCGCCACAGCCTCGGCCGATCCCGCAGCAGCCCCGGTATCACGACCGGGACATGCCGCTCCACCAGCCCCCGGAACGTCTCTGCCATCATGGTCATCGTCGTCGTCGTCGTCGTCGTCGTCGTCGATGATCCCGCTTTCGACCCCGCCCCCGCCAGCCGTTCGGGAAAGCCCGGTTGCTCGCCTGCCGTCAGCGGGATGCCGTGCCGCTTGCGCGAGGCCACGCTGCGCCGCCGCAGGTGCATCAGGTACGCATCGTCGCCGTCGCCGTCGCCGTCGCCGCTGTGGTCGTCCGAGCCTCGATGTTGCTGCGCCGTCATGATGGTGGGTCGTCAAACCCTTCAAGCACCTCCACGGGCGATCAAAAAGGGCGTCGAGAGCCCCCGCGAGGAGTACGGAGGACGCAGAAAAAGAATGGAGACTATGGGGATTGAACCCATGACCTTTCCGAGAACACGCCATGCAAACGGAACGCTCTACGACTGAGCTAAACCCCCTGGGTCATGTAACCCCCTTGGCTAAACGGGACGTTGATGTTCGGACATTCTTGGGTTGCATACATGAACGCTCAAAGCCTGCGGACCGACAATAGCGGAATGCCCTCCCCGACCCGAGGCAGGCAGAGACGGCGGCCGAGGCAGCAGCGGGCCGGTAGAAGAGCGGTGCTGGTGGCCGGGGGGTGCGCCGCAAAGTTGCCACTGGGTGAGCAGCGATACGGATACGGTGATTCGACTGCCGCTGGGGCGCGTCTTGGCCGAATCTGCTTCGTCACGCTGTCGGGCGGTTGGCCGGTCAGGATGGCTCTGATAGGCCATCATGCAGAATAACGGGGGGTGGGGGAGGTGTTCCACGCCGCTGGTCCCTCCGAGCACCGTGCTGCGCTGTTCAACCTCGACAGCACAAGGACCGGGCAGTGCGGGGCGGAGGAGCGAGGAGACGTGTGAAGCGGGTACTCACTGTACGCCCCACGACATCCGGCGTGTCGTGCGGGACCAATCGCCCTATCCCGTACCGTAGAGCGTCCCTCGTACAGCGACAAAGAGGCAGGGGGGCAGAGGCAGTCGTCCTGGCCACGTCCAGAGCTTCGTCCGGCCGAGCGAGGAGGACGAGGGGGGACGAGGCCATGCGTTGGGGAAGCCGAGTGGGGCACCGCTCTGCCATACCGTGCCGAGCCGCACAAGAAGCTCGCTTGGGGACGAACGTCGTTTGCAGATCTGCCGGCCAGACAGAAGAGGAGAGAAGAGAAGCGGGCGACATCGCCGTCGTTTCCGTCCCTTGGCATCGTTCCTCGACGACCGCTTGGCCTGCCTACCGGTATACGGCGTCGACGACGTCGTCCTTTGCAGCAGAGAGAGCGGCCGGCCGGTCAATTCCCTTGGCTCGGCTCCCTGCGCCCCTCCGCCCGCCCAGTACACGTCCGCAGGCCCGTAGGTGTCGTGTCGTGCCGTCACGACCACTTTGCCGCCGCCGTCGTCGCCCCATTCAGAGCCACTGTATCCCACGTCGTGCAGGCCAAGATGCAGACGATGCGGGTCTCGTGCGGCGTGAGGGAAGAGCCTAGGGGTCCTCGGAGCGGCTATTGTATGCACCCCGCGTCAGACGTGAGCCTTGGTGCGGGGTATGGCCTCTACCCCCACACTGGGGCAGAGCATCAAGCATAGACCAAAGGATCGCTCGTACGCACAAGAGTCCTGGTACCATCGCAGCACGGGGGCCGTCGTCTCGAGTCGAGGGAGCTGTAGCCGCATCGTGCAATCGACGGACAGGCTACATATAGGACACCGCCGGGGCTCGTCCTCATCGCCCTCCCTTCATCTTCTCTCACGCAACCCCTAGCCTCTTCCCCCTCTCCCCGCCCACCACCGTCTACCATGCAGCTCCCCCTCCTAGCCCTCCCCACCGCTGTCCTGGCGGCGAGCGGGATCCTCGGCGCGCCCCAGCCCTCCAACTCCAACTCGCAGCGGCCCTCGTGCGGCTCGCTGCGGCCCTCGCCGATCCCGGGCGTGCGGTACCTCGACGTGCAGTCGCGCGAGTACACCAACGCCACGTACCCGGGCGCCCAGGCGGGCACGAGCGTGACGCTCTCGTTCTGCGAGGTCAACGTGACGCTGACCCACGGCAAGGCGGGCGACCGCGTCCTCGTATCCACCTGGCTGCCGCACGAGGCCGACTGGAACGCCCGCTTCCAGGGCACCGGCGGTGGCGGCTACCGCGCCGGCACGTTCGGCCAGGCGCTCGCGCCCGCCGTGGCGCAGGGCTACTCTGCCGCCTCGACGGACGCGGGCATCGACGCCAATAGGCCCGATGGCGACTTTATCCTGCGCAACGCCACGGGCGACGTCAACCTCGATCTGCTCACCAACTTTGCCGGAAGGTCGCTCCACGAGATGACGCTGCTCGGAAAGGACTTTACGCGCCAGTTCTACGGCGGCAAGCGCAGATTCTACTCGTACTGGAACGGCTGCTCGACCGGCGGACGGCAGGGCATGATTGAGGCGCAGCGGTATCCGACCGACTACGACGGCATCATGGCCTCGGCGCCCGCCATCAACTGGAGCCAGTTCTCGCCCGCAGGCTCGTTTCCCAACAACCAGCGCGTCCAGTCGGGCTACGACGGGCCGACGTGCGAGCTCGTCGAGATGCAGCGGCGCCTCATCGACGCCTGCGACGCCCTCGACGGCGCGCGCGACGGAGTCATCGCCGCCCTGGACCGGTGCCAGTTCGACCCGCACTCGATCGTAGGGCAGAGGTACACGTGCGCCGAGACGGGCGCCGAGCTGCAGTTCACACAGGCCGCTGCGGACCTCGTCGATGTCACCTGGAACGGCGGTCGCGATGCACAGGGACGCAAGGCGTGGTACGGCTTCGAGAGGGGCACCAACCTCACCCAGGCCACGGCGGAAGATCCCTCGTTCGCCACTTACTCGCAGATCTGGATCCGCCAGGCCGTCAAGAAGGACCCCCAGTTCGACGTAACGGCCCTGTCCCAGGACGAGCTGTCGCGCGTCATCTACCAGAGCTACGCCGAGTGGAACGACCTCATCGGTACCTCTGACCCGGACCTTCGAAAGGCGTACCAGCACGGCACCAAGATCCTCACATGGCATGGAACCTCCGACCAGGCGATTCCATTTTCCGGCACCATCGACTACTACACTCGCACCACCGACTTCCTCCGGGTAAAGGGAGTCGAGATCGACGACTTCTACCGCCTCTTTTCCGCACCCGGCGTCGCCCACTGCCGCGGCGGCGTCGGTGCGGCACCCGACGACCCGCTCCAAGCCGTCGTGGATTGGGTCGAACAGGGCAGGGCACCCGAGCGTCTCGCCGCCACTACCCAGGACGCCCGCAAGAAGAAGGAGGACCTCTGCAGGTACCCCAAGATGGCCACCTGGAACGCCCAGGGAGACGTCGAGTGCAAGGTCACCGACTTTTCGCGCAACTTTAAGCCGCTCCCGCGCCCGCCCAAGGTCTGAAGGGGGGCGGGCACCGTTTCCATTGCGATTGATCGAGGGCCGGGGAGAACGGCCATCCCAGCACATGCCCGCACGGCCGAGTTGAGATATCGATCGAGCGCCAACGTCCATGTTTGCAATGCAATCATCTCTCCGTGTCACCGAGACTGATCGCTCGCCCCGTCTCGACGACGATCAGTCGTAGCCGCCGCGGTACATGGACTTGTTCTCCACCTTGGTCCTCGCCTTCTTTTCCGACGTCGACCCGCCGCCGCCGCCGCCACCGCCGCCGCTGCTGGCGCCCTTCTTGGACTTTTTCTTGTTCGACTCCTTGTCGCTCGATCTCGTCTTTCCGCTGCCACTGGCGCTGCCGCCACTGCTCTCCTTCTTCTCCTTCTTGGCCTCCTTTTTAGCCGCCTTCCTGGCCTTCTTGGCCTCGCCGCTTTCCGGTTCCGACTTTCTCTTCTTCGACTTGGCCTTGCTGCCGCTGCCGCCGCTCCCGCTGCTGCCGCTCCCGCTCGCCTTCTTGTCCTTCTTCGTCGACGAGCCCTTCTTCTTGTACCGGCTGCGGTCGCCGCCGGGCGTCATGGGCGCGTTGCTGAAGCGGTCCAGCAGCGAGCCACCGCCTCCACCGCCACCGCCGCCGCCGCCGCCGAGCTTTTTCCTCTGCTTTCTAGTAAGCTCTTCGTGCGGGTCGCGACGTCCGCGCGACGACGGCGGAGGTGCAGCCGAGAAATGAAAAGTCGTCTCATCCTCGCCGCCGCCGAACCTGCCACCCGCGCCCGACGAGCCGCCGACGCCCGAGCGAAAGGTAAAGGCATATGTCGACGGCGCGCGATCCAGCGCCGAGCCGCCGCTGCCGCTGTGCACGGGGGGCGGCGGCGGTATGAGGCTGCCGTACGGTCCCCAGCGCGAGACAAACTCGGAAAACGCCGAGGGCTCGCCGTTGGTGCGTGTCGGGTTGACCCTCCGCGTCGGGCAGTCGTCGCCCCAGTGGCTGGTCGAGGTGCAGTTGTAGCACCAGCGCGTCTGCAGCGTCGGTGGCGCACGGTGGCGGGCACGGGCAGAACATGGACGGACGGATGGTTGGGAATAGGGTGTCAGCTGGTGGGGTTTCCGCCGCGCCACGATGGCATCCCCTTCTTCTCCGCTCGCAACTCACTGCCGGGTCCCAGTCGCTCGCGCCCACCTCTCCCTCTTCCAGCTCTTCCCCTTCGTCGCGCTGCATGTCGTCGTCGATGTCGTCGTCGTCGCTGACCTCGTCGGGCTCGTGGGCGTCCCTGGAGGCTATCGTTGCACTGCGGTGGCCGTGCTGCTGCTTGTACGCCTTGCGGCTGCGCTCGGTCTCGTACGTGTCGCGATCGTTGAAGACGTAGACGCGCCAGTGGGTAGGGCAGGTGGCGAGCGTGTGGCGGTAGCTGCCGCACTTGACGCATTCGCGCGACGCACCGCGCCCACCGCCGTAGGAGCGGGGCTGGGGGCAGTCGTGGCTGCGATGCCCCTGGCCGCCGCAGCGGAAGCAGCAAGTACTCAGCGGGCACTCGCGCGTCGAGTGCGAGTCGAGCGCGCCGCACGCCATGCACTGGCGGGGGCCGGGGGGCGAGGACGATGGGACAGGAGGGAGGGGGTCAATATCGATCCCGGTGAGCCCAGAGGGAACGACTGCTGCTGCGCCGACTCACTAGGAGATGCGGGCATCTCTTGCGCTCGTGACCGTCTTCGCCGCAGGCGGGACACTTTGCGAGCTTGCGCTTCTCCTCGATTTCCTCTGCGGCGTAGTACCGTCCCGCGGTGGCTGGGTCGAGGTCGAGCTGCTGGTAGTCGCCCATGTCGTCCTCGGCCTCGTCCCTCTGGCGCTGCTCTTCGCGCAGGCCCTGTGGGAGGTCTGGAATGATCTGGACGTGGTCGGGCAGCACGAGGCTGTCGTTGGCCGTCGCCGCTGCCTTGTCGGTTTCGTGTGGGTCGGATGCGTTGCGAGAGGACGACGAGGTCGAGGGGTGCTGCGGCTGCTGGCGATGCTGCTCGTGGTCCTCGTGGAGGTCTGCGTCGCCCTGCACGTCAAAGACGAAGCTTGTTTCCATGTCGAGGTCGTGGTCGTTGTCGTAGTCGTTGTCATTGTCGTTGCCGTCGTCGTCGCTGTGGGCGGCGCTGCGTGACTGGTAAGGGGTGGAGTGGCCTGAGCCGCCGCGCCTGCCGCGTCTTTGCTTGCCATTGGCCAGGGACGACGACGTCGACGGCGAGGGGCGTTGTCTGGGTGATGCGTCGTTGCCTGCCGCCCAGTTTGCGGGCGAGGGGCGGTTGTCGAGGTAGAAGGGCGACGAAGGCATGTTGGGCGAGACGCAGCAGCGGCACAGATGGGCGCAGGGAGAGAGTATGGGCGAGTGCTAGACGGAGGAGGTGGACGGTGGCGCCGGGGCTGGCTAGTCGGAGCAAAGGAGGAAGAGGAGGCGCCGGAGGGCGAGATTACGGTGGCGCCCAAGGGAATAGGGGGACGACGATGAGGAGGAGGAGGAGGCCAGGATGGCGAGCGAAGAACGCAAAGCCAAGGCCCCCCTCGTTTCGCATGTGGAGTGCATGCACGCCAGCGAAAAATTGGCAAAATTCCCAGAAAAAAAAGGCGCGGGGGGGGGGGGGGGCCGGAGTGGCGAAGCGGACGGGCGGGCGGGTCCGAAGACGATACAGCCTCGATACCGAGCTGAGCCAATCTGGGCCCTCGCCTCGACGCCGGCCACGGCTCACAACAACACTCTGTCGAGCCAACAGATAGACCAGCTGTTGACGGCCGACGGAAGTGTGCACAGAAGAGGCAGTGTGATGGCATGGCAGCATGTCGCTGCGTCGATGCCAGCTTGCCACCGAGTCCTGGACATCGAGCGACAAGCTGAGGCTGATGACAAGCCATGGTCCAAACCGCGGAAGACGGCGAGAAGCCAGGCCAGGCCAGGCCAGGCCAGGCCCGCCTGCACCGCCCTCGCGCGGCACGCCCGGCCTCTGCCTCTGGCAAAGCACGAGCGAGGATCGACAGGGTGCGCGCCTGCTGGCCGGCTGCCAAGCGACGCACCCAAGCCGAGCCAGAGGGCGTCTGCTCGCCTGGCTGCCTGGCTGCCTGTCTGCCTCTGCCGACGCGAGAGGCAGGCGAGCCCAGCCCGGCCTTGGGCCAGAAAGGGGCTCCCGACGTCGGCCCTGCCAGAGGTTAGGCCTGCCAGGCTGCTGCTGCTGCTGCTGGCTGCTGCCGGTGTGCATGCAAACACATGCGCCCGCCCCCGTTGGAAAAAGTAACACCGCCTCGCCATCGACCCACGCCCGCCCGCCCGCCTCCATCTCAATTTCGGTCGGTCTGGCACGCGAACAACCCTGCTGCGCCTGTCCACCGTAGCCTCGACGTTGCACCGCCTCACCCCGCTGCGGCCTGCCTCTCTTGCTCGTCGTTCGGATCCATCCGCCACCGCCACCGCCATCGCCATCGCCATCGCCATCGCCATCGCCATCGCCATCGGTCGCCATACTATACTACTCTCTCTCCGCAACCCCTGCTTCATCTCCTCACGATTTCACCACCACCGCCCATAACGACCCACCCGCCCTCGTCATTGTTACGGCACTCGATCGCTCGCCGTCGTTTCTTCATTCAGACGACCTCGACCCCTGTCTAGCCATCGAACCTGGCCTCTAGACCACACCGCCCCCTTCCGACCGCCAACAACCAAGTAGCAAGCGTCCCCAGGCCAAGCCTCACGCCAACCGCCATGCCACCCAGGCACCTCTTTGGCGCCAGGGGCCAGCCCGACCGCACCACGTCGCCAGACCATCCACAGACGGCAGAGGCACGCCGCCAGTCGCTCACCGCCGCCGCCAACCCCTATCCCACCTACGACCCGGGCGCCAACCCGACCTCGCCCCCGCCCCTCCCCTACGACCCATCGCCCTACGACCACGCACCACCTTCCTACCCGCCCCAGCACCACCACCACGACCCGCGCCCTACCTCGCCCCAGCTCAACAACCCCTACCAGACCCAGCCCGCCGCCGTCGTACACGCCAACCCCTTCGACTCCTCGATGGACCACCACCACCACCACCTCAACTACCACGACGACAACGGCGACGTGCCCCTCCTGCCACCCAGCGGAAACTACGCCTACGCGCCCGCCAGCCAGTTTGACGAGGATGGCAACCACATCGGACCCATCGGCAAGTACGACGACGGCGACGACGACGTCATGGACGAGGACGACGTCGACGGCCAGGCGCGCGGCCGCCACCTCGGCATGGACCCCTCGGATCCCGACTACATGCCCGGCGGCTTCAACCCGGCGCTCATGGAGGACGGACAGGCGGGCGGCATCCGCTACGGCCGCATCCCGCAGCGCGTGCCCCGCCGCTACAAGACGCTCAAGCGCGTCGAGCTCTACCACGGCAACCTCGTCCTCGACTGCCCCGTCCCCTCCAAGCTCCTCGACAAGCTCAACGACCGCGAGTCGCGCGAGTTCACCCACATGCGCTACACGGCCGCCACGTGCGACCCGGACGCCTTCAAAGACGAGCGGTACACGCTGCGCCAGGTCCTCTTTGACCCGCCCCGCCGCACCGAGCTCTTCATCGTCCTCACCATGTACAACGAGGACGAGGAGCTCTTCACGCGCACCATGCACGGCGTCATGACCAACATCGCCCACCTCTGCACCCGCGACCGCTCAAAGACGTGGGGCAAGGAGGGCTGGAAAAAGGTCGTCGTCTGCATCGTCTCGGACGGCCGCATGAAAATCAACAGCCGCACCCTCTCGGTCCTCGCCGCCATGGGCGTCTACCAGGAGGGCGTCGGCAAAAACGTCGTCAACGGCAAGCCCGTCACCGCCCACATCTACGAGTACACGGCGCAGCTCTCCATCGACCCGGACCTCCGCTTCCGCGGCCGCGAAAAGGGCATCATGCCCGTCCAGATCCTCTTTTGCCTCAAGGAGCGCAACCAGAAAAAGATCAACTCGCACCGCTGGTTCTTCAACGCCTTTGGCCAGGTCCTCCAGCCCAACATCTGCATCCTCCTCGACGTCGGCACCATGCCCCGCGCACGCTCCATCTACCACCTCTGGAAGGCCTTCGACATCAACTCCAACGTCGGCGGCGCGTGCGGCGAGATTGTCGCACTCAAGGGCAAGCTCTGGTCCGCCCTCCTCAACCCGCTCGTGGCCGCCCAGAACTTTGAGTACAAGATGTCCAACATCCTCGGTGAGTGAGCGCTCGAGCAGCGGGCGCAGGCGGGCGCAGACGGCCGCCGAACGCCAGCCGCCCTCCCGCTGATCCCTCTGCCGCTCACCCGCAAATTCCCCCCACCTCCCGTTTTCGCAGACAAACCGCTCGAGTCGGTGTTTGGCTACATTACCGTGCTGCCCGGTGCCTTCTCGGCGTACCGGTACATTGCGCTGCAGAACGATGCCCTCGGCCAAGGCCCGCTGCACTCGTACTTCAAGGGAGAGACGCTCCATGGCGGCGATTCGGACGCCGACGTCTTCACGTCGAATGTGAGCGGATGCGGCGGGGCTCGGGTCCCCCGGACGAAGGACCGCTGTGCCGAAGACTGACCGACCACCTCGCCCTGTCCCCACTCTGGCCGCCACGACAGATGTACCTGGCCGAGGACCGCATCCTGTACGTGTCAATTGTCCGCGTCGATCGCTGGCATGGTCCTATGCTGACACTGACGCTGCCGCTGTTTGATCCGCTCCGACCCGCCCTGCCGATCGCGCAGCTGCTGGGAGCTCGTGTCGAAGCGCGACTGCGCGTGGATCCTGCACTATGTCAAGTCGGCGCAGGCGGTGACCGACGTGCCGGACCAGGTGCCGGAGCTCATCTCGCAGCGGCGCCGGTGGCTCAACGGCTCCTTCTTCGCGGGCATCCACTCGATCATCAAGTTTGGCTACATCTACCGCTCCTCGCACTCGTTTGGGCGCAAGTTTGCGCTGCACGTCGAGATCGTCTACCAGACTATCCAGCTCGTTTTCTCGTGGTTCGGCATGGCCAACTTCTTCATCTCCTTTTTTATCCTGACGAGCGCCATGTCGGACCGGATCAAGGGGCTGACGATCCCGAATCGGGTGCTGTCGTACGTCTACGTGGCGTTTATCATCTTCTGCTTCCTGCTGTCGATGGGCAACCGGCCGGCGGGCAGCAAGTGGGGGTATACGATCTCGATGATCGTGTTTGCGCTGCTGACGCTCTACATGACGGCGGCGGCGCTGTACCTGGCCGTCGACTCGATCCTCAACGCCACGGGCGCCAACGGGCCCGGCGCCGAGAGCCTCGTGAGCGACACGACGTTTGTCAACATTGTCATTTCCCTCGCCGCCACGTTTGGCCTCTACCTGCTGGCGAGCATCATGTTCTTCGAGCCGTGGCACATGGTCACGTCGCTCGTCCAGTACATCCTCATGGCGCCGACTTTCGTCAACGTCATTTCGATTTACGCCTTTGCCAACATCAACGACATCAGGTGAGTCGCGGCGCGGCGCTGCTCATCGCTTGCTCGGCGGCGGGATGGACGGGGATGCCTGGCTGATACCGTTCTCGTTCCTGCCTTGTCCTCGCTCCTCCTTGCCTCTGATCCACTTCTCTCTCGATCCCTCCCTCGCGCGCAGCTGGGGCACCAAGGGCAGCGACAAGGTCATGACGGATCTGGGAGTGGTGGGGGGAGCCGGGTCGAACCAGGTCGAGATTGCGATTCCGACCGAGTCCAAGGACATCAACGACGCCTACGACGATGCGGTGCATGTGTTGGCCACCAAGGCGCCCAAGGAGGTGCACACGGTCGACAAGGAGCAGAAGCAGAAGGACTACTACGCCACGGTGCGCACCAACGTCGTCCTGTGCTGGAGCCTGACCAATGCCGCCCTCGTCGTGGCCATCCTCAACATCTCGAGCCAGCACACCCGCACCGTCTACATGGGCTTCCTCCTCTACAGCGTCGCCGCCCTCGCCCTCTTCCGCCTGCTCGGAAGCACCGTCTACCTCGTCAAGCGCCTGTTTAGCGGCGAGTAGCGCCATGTACGTAGCCACCCGAGTGGGCGCGTGAGCGAGGCATCCTCGTAGCCCGACGCCGACCTGCTTGACACCGCCACGAGGACAGCACGACCACATCGACCGAATGACCGCAACGACCGACCGATGACACCCAACGGACAAAATGTGCGCCCCCTCCCATCTCTATATCCGCCTCTTGTTCAACCCCCCCTGCTCTCTCTCTCTAATCTCAATGTACGGTGATTCGAGGCTCGTTGACGACGACGACTTGATAACGAGGGACCGAACATGCACGCACATCCGTTCCTGCCCGCTGCCCGGTCTACGATGCGCCCTGTACGGCGCACTAGGTCGGGGTTGGTGCCGGATCGAGACTGGCGGGTGGACGAGATGCGCCGGCGGAGCACCTCGGTCTCGGATCGACGTGGCCAAGGCGGGGGGTTTGGGATTGAACGGTCCTGGCCTCCGATAGACGTCTCATCTTGTATTTGTGTTGTGTTGTGTGCTGTGCTGGGGCGAGGATGTACCGGAGCACTGCGGTCGGGAGGTGATGGCCGTCGTCGTCGATGAGGGCACAAAGGAGGGAGATGCAGCCCTCACCTCGTCCTGGATTTGACGGAACGGGCGGCCCGACCCGTGAGGCGTGCAGTCTCGACGCATCCCCGCTCCCAACAGCTTGCACACGATCAAGGTTGGTTCTGATGTTGAAGGCGGCTGCTGCTGCTGCATTGTCGATGAGAGTGGTTCTGCAGGGCGAAACAGACAAGCAAGAGCTTGCCCACAGGAACGCCTGGACAGTCTCGAGATGTCTGCCCGTTCGTTGGCCACCGGGCAGCTGTCCTTTTCCTTGGACCGCATGCCCGTGCCGCTGGGCATCGCGCAGCGTGTTGTCGAGCAAGGGGTCCAGACCAGCTGGGTGCCACTGTGGGCAGAGAGAGCTCGTATTCGCAGATGGGCGACCAGCAGCACGATGTGCGAACGGCGCCAGCACGAGGCGCGGGTGGGAGCGGATCCCGGGCCTTGGTGTGTCCCCGGTCTCCCCTTTCATCCGTGTTCGGACGGCGGAGCCGTGAGAGGAAGCACGCACGCACGTTGCCGTTGGTCAGAGCCTCATTCCTTCCCACACGACCACCGCGGGCGGTGCTGTGGCTACGTGCAGTTAGGCCTGGGATGACGGTCGTCGTCGATGTGTGTATGTACATACGTACGTAACAGTACTACGTCTCCGGTACGTGTACATACAGTAGGGGCTCACCCAGCCTGGCGCTGTGCGTGCGTGTATGTGCGATCTCGACCTGTCGCCGTGCCGCAACATGCTAGCGGGCATGGTACCGACGCCGTGCAGATTGTGGACCAAGAGGAATAAAGGAGCGAGGGTGTCGTCGTGCCGTACCCTGTATCGTGCCGGTGATGAGCCAGGACGGCGATGCGTTGCCTGCCTGCCTGCCTGTCGGCTGTTGCTCGCTCGCTGCGCCCCTGATCGCTCGCTCGCCATGGTCGATGAACGTAACGCACTCTGTTCCATCCCGGGCAGGCAGCTTTAGCGTCGTACGACCCGGGCCTGGCCTGGCACAGGGGCTGTCGAAAGTGAAACCCTTTCCGGCCCGTACGGTGTACCCCCTTCTCCCCCCTCTGCCACCGCCCCGCCCCACCGCACGCGCCGCCGTCATCATCGCCGCCGCCACCGGCGTTGGCGTACCGGACCTCGATCGATTACTCCTGACTCGGGCCTGACCGCCCGCGCGCCCACTTCCGTGAAGCATTGTTCCGGCATCGAGCCTCCGACAGAGGTCCGAAGCGGCGGTGGGGCGAAGGGTTCGCTCGCTAGGCTGGCGAGGTCGTCGATCCGGAAGTCTTAGTGTAGTAGTGGGTCCCCTCGTCTCTGTGCCTGCGATCCCCCTCTTCGTCTGCTTGTTCCCCTTAAGGAGTGGGTCGACTGGCACCTGCGATCCCCCGCCCCTCATCAGCTATCCCTCCCCTCCTTCTCAACACCATCCTCTGATCGCACGTCCTCGTCGTGCCCCCTCGGATTCGACCGCGTCGCTCCCGCTCCGACTACAGAGGATGCGTCTCTCACCGACCGCGATGGCGGCCACGGCCATGGTGGCCGGCACGCTCCTCTTCAGCTCCGGCACCACCGCTTCGCCCGTGACGTTTGCGACGCTGCCCAAGTGTACGGAGCTGAAGCCGCCGTCGATCGAGGGCGTCCGGATCCTCTCGACGGTCGCGACGCCCTACACCGACCACGTCTACACGGACCCGTCGAGCGGCACCGTCTCGCCGCCGCTCTCGTACTGCGAGGTCAACGTCACCCTCACCCACGACGGCACCGACACGGTGCTCGTCACCACCTGGCTTCCCCTGCACCCGGATGCGTGGAATGGAAGGTTCCAGGGTACGGGAGGGGGTGGCTGGATCGCGGGCAAGTTCGGGACCGTCCTGGCGCCCGCCGTGCAGCGCGGGTACGCCGCAGCCAGCACGGATGCGGGCGTCGGCTTTGACGAGGACGGCAAGTTCCTCCTCGTCCCGCCGGCACACGACAAGATCGACCGTACGCTGCTCGAGAACTTCGGCCATCGCAGCATCCACGAGATGACGCTCATCGGCAAGGCCCTGACGCGCGACTACTACGGACGCAAGCCGAGGTCCTACTTTACCGGCTGCTCGACGGGTGGGCGACAAGCCTACATGGAAGCCCAGCGCTACCCGGACGACTACGAGGGCGTGATGGGCAACGCGCCGGCGTTGGACTGGGCAGCGTTCCTCCCGGCCGCGACGGCGCCCGACAACCTGCGCAACCAGCTCGGGTACAAGGGACCCGTGTGCGAGCTGGTCGAGGTGCGCCGCCGCGCCGTCGAGGCCTGCGACGCCCTCGACGGTCTCGTCGACGGCATCGTGAGCGCCTTTGACCAGTGTCACTTTGACGCGCGCTCCGTCGTCGGGGCCTCGTTCCACTGCACCGATACGGGCGCCGACATGCGCATCTCGGACCAGGCTGCGCAGATCGCCAACCTCGTCTGGAGCGGCGTCCGCCTCGACGACGGTACCAGGCTGTGGTGGGGCCTCAACCACGATGCCAACTTGACCGTCGCCAGTGGCCAGGACGATACCTATAGCATCATTGGCGATCAGTGGATCTATGCCGTCGAGCGCAACCTCACCTTTGACGTGCACGCCCTCCGACCCCCGCAGCTCGCCGCGGTGCAGCGAAAGAGCATCGACGAGTTCGACGACGTCATCGGCACCTTTGATCCGGACCTCTCGCGCTTCCGCCAACGCGGTGGCAAGCTCCTCACCTATACGGGTTTGGCCGACCTTGCTGTCTCGCCGAATCTCACCCTGTCCTATTACCGGGCTGTCGAGGAGCACCAGGGAGGTCGAGGTGGAAAGGGCGCGGCAGGGCTCGACGACTTCTACCGCGTCTTTTTGGCCCAGGGCGTCGAGCACTGCGTGGGCGGGCTGGGCCCGCTGCCCGATGACCCGCTCTCGGCCCTCGTCGACTGGGTCGAAAAGGGAAGGGCGCCCGATCGCCTACCCGCCACGACCCAGGACTCGCGCAAGCTCCAGCAGCCGCTGTGCAAGTGGCCCAAGCTGCCGCGCTACGATGCCCAGGGCCAGGTCGAGTGCAGGGACGACGGCTTTGCGGACAGGTTCAGAGGCCTCGATGGCCGATGAGCGCGCACAGACACGATCTCGGCCCTCCCTCCCTGCCAGTCTCACTCCGTCGCGGCACATGCCGATCTTCTAGAGCGTGCAGCACCCTGTTGCCGCCGCGCAGATAGACATTCATTCGCCCTGTTGCCCCGTCGACATCCTTTTCACCCTTGTCCCCGCCCGACCGTCTCTCGAATACAATCGGCCGGCCCCGTGCTTCTAGCGCTCTTCGACGATATCCGCGTCGATGCTGGGCTCGTCTGGCTTGGAGCCGCCGTCGGCGTCGGTGCTCCCCCGCCGCGCGGTCGGGACGATGCTGGTGCTGCGTCCGATGCTGACCCTCCTGCCGAGCCCGCCGCCGACCGAGGCGCGCGTCGTCGACGAC